AGTGGACGTAGGTTGTTTTTGTGTACCTTCTTTGCGAAAATTATCGAAACAAATAATTAATTTTTGAACCTCATGGCCAAGAAAATTGCCTCTATTAAAGTGCAGATGTATCAGTCTCTGTGTTCCTTTGATAAACTCATATCTTTATACCCCCCCCCCTATAGTCAACATAGCTAGATACTGTGCAACCTAATTGTTGCCTCACTGCGTGATAACAATTGAAGTCATTACAAAAAACAACCCTAATTATGATGATAAAGGGAAGAAGAGACAAACAAATTAGCATAACAGTGCTTGACGTTTAATAAGAATTTGTAAATAATACAAAGAAATTTTATCATCAGTTATATCAAAGCCAGTTGTATTTTGAGAGGAAAATTTGAAACTAATATAACATGTAAGTGAATAAGGTTTCGAATATATTGTTGAAATTGAAATTGTGCATATAATCAAAAAATAAACAGTGGCTAAGCGTTTAGATGAAATAAGCGGTTACAAACAGAAAACCGATGCAACTTTGAGGCTTATTAAGAACATTTTGATTAAGTAAAATCTTCTGTTTTTTTTATGGAATTTTATGTCTCTCCAATATGGGAAAGAGGCATATAATATTCCATATATATATATATATATATTCCCTTTATTTCCAGCAATTACAGCTGTAAAACACTCCTTTACTTTTGTGCTGAATATCTTAAACCTCGGGGGACATATACCTTTGTCCAATATGCCTAGACATTTATTTTATTTTTTTTAATTTAGGCCATCGATTGGATCTTAGGGGGTCAAAGGTCAAACATTACACAAAACATATTTCTTCGTGCAGCTCCCTTATATTTACATCAATCCAAATTACGCTTTGCGCAAAGATACTTTAAATCAACTTCCTCAGAATAAGCAGACAAATTTGTAGTTTTCATTTTGAATTTAAGTGTGCAAAAGGTTAAAAAAGTCGCAAAATTGGATTTTTTGGGGGTTTGATATGTCTTTATGTTTCGACCAATGTAAATGAGACTTAGCATAAAGATACTGTACGAAAACTCCCCCGACTGAAGCATAAAGATCTGAAATTTGTAGCTTTCTTTTGATTTTACAAGAGTAAACAAAAAAAATGCAATGGGGTACTCCGAGGGTTGTTGTTCTTAACAATGCTTTGATTCATTTAGTTCATGGAATTGCATATACTGTGTCGAAAAATAGGTATTATTTATCCAAAGATTACCTGTAAGGTGCTTGTAGTTGAGAGTAAGTTGAATTACGCAGAAACTGGCTTTCTTATGTAAAATAATGTCACACATTACTATGCTCCAATAAATATTTCGTCACAAAGAAGTCTCGACTTTTTACTATGTTAAGTGCCTTTGTCTGTGAAGTATACATGCTATAGTTTTTGCCTTGCCTTGAATATTATTCTCTCTCTTGAAATTTATTGTCTTTTGATGTACGTATGTATGTTTTGTTATAGGTAAGCCACATCTGGCTATTTGCTATGTCCACCGAGGGGTATCGAACCCCTGATTTTAACGTTGTAAATACGAAGATTTACCGCTGTCCCACCGGGGGATTTGTCTTCTGAGGATCTTATCGAAGACATATTGCATTCGCTTGCGAATGATGGCGGCTCTAATCTTTAGTTATTTTGAAACTGAAATAAAAAAAATTAAACTTGACCAAAAAACCTCATAAACAACCTGTGCTGTTAAAACACGGTCACCTATGTCTTAGTCTTACGTAACTCACTAAAACTTACAGAACATGCTGGACTTTTGGAACGGTAAATCTTGAAATGGAAAATACAGCTGAACCCTAACCAATAGAATATTTCATCCGTAAGAACTGATGACTCAGTATTCAAACTATTAAAATAGTTGTTAATTTTTCATTACGGCTCATTCTGGGTTAACTCTATTTGTTTGGTTTTTGTCTCCATCAATGATACATCTTTATTCTGTGGTTAAACGATGATAGACTTGACTAATTTAAAAATGAAATTATGATGGCACGCCGACTATTTAAATCAGACAGGCTGTTCTCTGGGTCACAAAAAACCTTGAATAAAAAATTTCCAATGAAGCTTCATGTCTGGTAGTTTTATAAAATATTTTCAGGGTAGACCAGACATAAGTAATTAAAGTGACAACTTTCATGTAATTAATCACTGGTTCTCTATTAAAACAAGTTATATTACAACAATAGTTATGAACTGTTATCCGTGTAATTTATTACGCTCCTCTCAAAACCCGTTCGTGATAAACAAATGAAAAAGTTACTGCGATTATGTTTGTTGGAGAATATTCTTTAAAAGGTAAAAGCACATGAATTGATAATGAATTGAGCTGATGTTGAAAATTTAATGCATTCTTTCATTGTACAGCAAAGAATAGCACTGATGTTATAACATCGTTTGTATGATCCCTATAATTATCTATTTTGATTGTTTTTCGTTTCCAAGTTAAGACTCGTTATTACATTTGTCCATTGTTTCTAGAATAATACATGACGTGAACTTATGTTTACATATTATTTATGTACTATCTGTACGGAAAGATTGGGAAACGCGTGCACATCACATATATGCGACATCTTGAAAATCGTGTTCTTTTATTTCAAGACTAGCAAAAGTACCCGGCTTCGCTCAGGTTATTAGGTTGATTTATTCTAGATGACTATGTCAGTGTGTGTATTCTGAACCCATTTTAGCATAAAAGTATAACCTATATACTTTTGTTGGTAAGCAACATGATATAAAACCATTGTTGGAACACATTGTTACTAAAATGCACATGCCCTTCATGCAGAGCACAGATAGCTCATTGTGGAGCTTTGTGCTTAAACTTCAAACAAACTAAAACGCACTGACTTTTCTATGTATATTAGAAGTTGTTATATAAGGAACCACTTCTTTTCTGTGTGGTTTTTCACTCATTAAAAAGATGCGCTTGTGCACGCGTATGTAGATAAAATAAGTAAAAGTACCTAGGTGCAGACCCTCAGGGTCCACTTAGTACGGGGGAAAAATTCAGGTTTTTAGGTTCTTTCCTCTTGGAGCTATGGCAGTCACACACAGACACGTACGTGCGCACGCCATAGACGTCAATGAGAAGTTCTCATTTACAAATTTTAGGTTTATAATTCCTCATCAATTTTCGTCATTTAAACCATAACTTTTAAGGATGTAAGTATTGTATCCATGTGCAATTATGGTATTATATTATTATTATAACTGAAGATAAAACAAAAAACTGACAACTGTTTACATTTAAACAGGTTTTTGAACTTACCAGCAAAGACATGTTCAGAATAGCTTCTAAAATAGGCTTATCTACTCTAATTAATATCAGCCATGACGACTTGTAGGCATTTGTATCGTTGGTATTTTGCTAACTGTCTGGTTTTCTCTCTTTGAGTCTCGATCACTTCGGGTAAGTGGAAAAATGATTTTTTTTTATCCCTGTCACCACTGTTTGAACGGTTTACTACCGCACAAAGGTAGGCATTATGTAATTGTTGTTATATCAACACAATCATCTTAATTATTTAATTTTCTATAGTGCATATTAGTGTATGAAAGACATATTAATACTAGAAATAAACGACCTTATAACACCAAAATGTTGTCTTTATTTAATTAGACACTTAACGTTTCGCTTTACAGCTTCTTCAGGAGCGTTCACTAAAACATAAACCGAAACTGACTGTACAAAGCTTCAAATTCTATAAATTTATTATTTAAACCAATGGAAGTTTTTTGGTTTTTTTTCTAGTGTTAATACAATCCTCTTAATGTTCATTTCGATCGATACATAGCTAAGAGCTGTTGCCTGATATCCAAGATGGTGGGCAGAAGCAGCGCCACCTGATATCTTTCAACATTATAAAAACTCATTTTACTCCTGAATAAGAATGGTTAACTCTTCAAAAGCGCTCGAGTTTCATGGTTTTTCAAAATATATTTCTAAAGACTGGTATTGGTATTGTATTCTTAAAAAATCAGATTGATGTAGAATTGGTTACTTGTGGGGAAAATAACAAACAAACTACAACTAAGTGAAAACCGTGACTCAATTGAAATTACATAAATGAAATTAAATTGTCCCCCACTCATGAAAGCAATCCCTCTTGTCTCTCTTTTTCTTTTAACTGGTTTTTAGAGAAACGTTGGCAATCATATTTGGATATTGGTTTTAAGTACTGAGAGATATAAAATATCACATTAATAATCATTCTTTGGTAACTTCATGCATTTGAGCTTTGAGTACTGAATTGTTAGTTTCTTGATCTTTATGTAGTCAAGAGTTTACGCTAAGGATCAAACTGGCTGTGTGTTTGTTATAACGTTAGTATTTACCACATTCCGTTGTGAACATAAAAATAATCATAGATTCTCTAATGTTAAACGCTGAAAGCTGGCGAAACAATCGGACCAAGAGGCGCTTAATATTCCTGGTAGAAAATCACGTTAGGCTGCTTATGTTTTTTAAAATCATTTCTCTTAATAATTAATGAAAAATTGAAAGTAGACTAGCGTGATTATAAGAAGAATATTAAGCCTATTATAATACATAGTTTTAGCAATATTGTAAAATAATCATTCATGATGTTAGAAGGTAGGTTCAAGAAGTCTTGATAGAAATGAATAAAAACCCTATAATTAGAACGCTTTCGAAAGGTGGACCTTTCTTCTTCAGGGGCAAACTGGGAATCATGTAATTACAATCGAATGTAATTAATATTAAAACTATTAGTCATTCTAATTTCACTAAATACTTCCACCTTGATTAGACATTATTCTATTTTATTAATAGTATCTACTTTATGGAAGATGTCGACCCAAATTTACATGAATTAAAAAATATGATGTTTTCACTTTACATAATAGTTATTTTTATATTTCTAGGCAATGACACCTGTCCGCCAGAGTTTGATGGTTGGGGATGCTGGAAAGCGACATCTGCTGGACATATTGCGAAAATTTCATGCCCCACCTTTGGGTCACTGGCAGAAAATAAAAGTAATCTTTAAAGCATTTGCTATTCTCTATTATTTTTAAGTTATAGAGTTGTCTGAAAAAACAACAAAAAACAAACTAATTTTTACCCGTTAAGTATTTAAGCCCATTTCAGTAGATTTTCAATAAAAATATAGGTACTATCAAATGTAAAAGTATGAACTGTTATCCGTGTAATTTATTACGCTCCTCTCAAAACCCGTTGGTGATAAACAAATGAAAAAGTTACTGCGATTATGTTTGTTGGAGAATATTCTTTAAACGGTATAAGCACATGAATTAATAATGAATTAATAATCTATTTAAGCCTATTTCAGTAGGTTTTCAATAAAAATATAGTCACTATCAAATGTAAAAGTAATTTTCAAATTTGGCTAAAAACGGAAAAGGAATAACAACTAAATGTTCTACCTGGTGTATTCTATCTCCACCAATATATCACTTGAGGCTGTTCTGATCGATCCCAGCATGCCTAAGTAATCAAACAATTAACGGATTTTTCTGGATGTAATGTAATTATATCGCCACTACGGACTGCAGCTGTCTGGGAATTACCATCGCTTGGCACAGAAAAAAAAAAACGTTCAGCAGCCAGAAAAATACCAGTAAATTGAGAACGAGGTTAGGTTAATCACATTATTTGTTGTTTTTTTTTATTTTTCGTTAGGTGCAAAACTTCTAGCGTTACGGAATCGAAACGTTGGACAAAAATGTATTTATTCATCACTTTTTTCTTCGCAACGTTATGATTATTTGTAATTAAACCACTAAGTGGAGTACAGAAAATTGCAATAAACTAATAGACTAATAGGTTGCTACTTTAAAAACTGTAGTTTATTAGATGAAACATATGTAAGGCTTCTGTTTGTTCCACACATGATGGAAATGGGCGTGTCTCAATGATTAGCATGCCATGCAGCAGATGTAAAGATCCAAGGTTAGGGACGTGATGTGATTAAATATTCTCCTTACAACCAGCTGTAGACGTATCATAAAAGTTACAATCTTGTTATTATTCTGTTGAAAGAATTGTCATCTCTCTAATCAATAGCTGGCCCGGCATGGCCAGGTGGTTAGGGCGCTCGACTCACAATCTGAGGGCCGCGGGTTCGAATCCCCGTCCCACCAAACATGCTCGCCCTTTCAGCCGTGGGGGCGTTATAATGCGACGGTCAATCCCACTATTCGTTGGTAAAAGAGTAGCCCAAGAGTTGGCGGTGGGTGGTGATGACTAGCTGCCTTCTCTCTAGTCTTATACTCCTAATTAGGGATGGCTAGCGCAGATAGCCCTCGTGTAGCTTTGCGCGAAATTCAAAAACAAACAAACAAACAAACTAATCAATAGCTAAAAATTAGGGACAACTGCACTTGAATCCTAGAGGGTCTCTGATAAGGTGTCATTCAGGTTGAAAATTCCAAACCTAAACATAGATCCTGTAGCTACGTGAATAATTTCAGTAGCAAAATTTGTAGGTTAACAATTTCCAGTAACGTAGGAAGCGGGGGGCACTCCCCCACTTTCAAAATACATCAAATTAGGAAAATTACTCTCAGCAAAAGCAAGAGAATGAATACAACTTAATCCAGAACCCAAGAGCTTTCAGGGCCCTAAGATGAGCCCTGGACACCGGCTGTAATGGGTTTGCGTGTCATGCACATTCCCACGCTTCGCTCGGTCAGATAAATCTTGGGCCCTCCCACTTTTTAATTATCTATTACGTAGATCTCTGATTTATTAATATCATTCACATTTGAGCAAAAAATTGCAAAAAGGGCGTAGAGTAAAATAAACCATTAAGGTAATAATAAAAAGAATCAGTTATAATTTGCACCCACTTAATCCTGTCAAACGCATTCAGTCTGAAGCATAAGCGATCTGAATATTTTTCGTATAATGTTTTAAATCTTCTTAGTAAGTGTATCAAACCCACTTACCACATCCAGCGGCAGATTTTCAGTTATTCCTAATCCTTTTTTCTTCGAAACTATATGCTAATTTAAAATATGGTTCCTTATCTTCGAGACCTTTCATAATCTAATTTGTCTGTTTTTATAAATGAGTAAGCTTTAACTAAACTCATTTAGCATTTAGGGTCTCTCACACCTAATGAATCAACTTCTGTGTTGTATAATACAGTAGAAATCAAGGCACAAATTACAAAAGGCAGAATTATGAACCTACAGAGTCGTGATCAATTTTACTATTATATATTTAAATTCGCGTAGAAATAATCTTAACGTTACATAAGATGGCTATTTTACATTCTATACTGTGATAACGTTTCGTCTCAGATACACTAGGGTCTTTTAAAGGGCAACTGTTGTAACTTGCAAACGGTTCTGCCATACTTTTGTAACCATCTAAAATGAGAAAGCTGATTTTTTAGAAGATAAAATAATCGTCGCCGGAGGGGGTCTTAGTATCAAAAATTCACTTGAAGATCTGCTGCTTTGTATGAGTTATATTTTTGTGTACACGTATTAGCATAATATACATGGGTAGGCTAGGAAGTTCTTGTTTGTTGTTAAGCGCAAAGGGTTATCTGTGCTTTACCCACCGTGGGTATCGAAACCTGATTTCTAGTGTTATTAAATAACGGTGGGGCAAAATCAAAAGAAAAAAATCATTATGTAAGCATTTTCTAAAAGTTTTCTAAGTGGCAATACAGTAAAAGGAATAACTGTAAGGGCTTTTGAAACGAGGACCTGGCATGGCCTGGTGGTTAGGGCGCTCGACTCACAATTTATGAGTCACGGGTTCGAATTCCATCATCAAACATAATGTGACGGTCAATTCCACTAGTTGTTGGTAAAAAGCAGCTCAAGAATTGACGGTAGGTGGTGCTGACTAGTTGCCTTCCCTTTGGATCCCTAGTGGCTCAACCATAAGTCGTGACAGTTGCGGGAAAAGAGAGCAAAGTTATGTTTGAATGACACTTCTGAAACCAAATTTAATCATGTAACTATGAAAAAGCAAGACAAAATTATGCAGACATTCATACAAATTATTAAGTTTTTCTAATATGTTAATTTTAATTGGAGAAAATTATGGATATTTTCATTGTTTACCTTTAGGAAAACTAATATAAAAGTACTTTATATAATAATATTAGCGAGGAAAGTTAGCGCCTTATTCCAAACTGAACTAAAAAAGTGCAATAATGGAGACTGCAAAAGCTGTGATTGATACAATATACTTATGTTCACCAGGTGGCACCACAGTATCATTACACCTAATGTAATTTGAGTACCAATACACAAAGAATGTCGAGTTAATTAGTAATTGATTATTATTATTTACTAAATATTTCGTGTTTTCTATAAGATGTGTATGTAAACAGAAAAAGGAAATTTAGAAAACCAATTTCTTTCGTCGGTACATCAAACGGGTTTCGTAAAATATTTTTATGTTCTAATAACAAGAAGAGAAATCTAAAAAATAAACCCGCAACGAACTTAATTACTCAAAATAATAAAACAGATCATATCACTAGTGCTCATTTCCAAATTCTGCTAAACGGATTTTATCAAATAAAATAAGTTCAGAAGTGTTTCATATCGAAAGTTCTGGCTCATAAACTCAAGTTTTTTTCTAAACTATTCGCTAAATGATATTTATAGGAAAGATTTTGTAAGACTGTTTAGTGTAGAGAGTATTGATTAATTAATTTTTATGAGTGAATATTTTATGATTGTTTAGTTTTTATGTAATAAGAGAGTTAAAAGCAGACGAAAGGTGTGTTTATATTTCTTTAATGTTGAGACTATCGAACGTCGCGTGCAATACATTGACGTCGAGAATATAGAGATTTCTAGAAGGTGGGCAGACGATTAATTGATAAATATATAAATAGTGTGAGACAAGCAGAAACAGCAGACAGACAATAGCAGAAGAATGTAATGTCACGGCCAAGGAAAAGTTCGGTGTAAAGTTAACTGCCGTAGAAGTGATAGGCCTAACGATTAACATAGGTCTAACGTTTAATATGTTAGAGCAAGACTAACAGTAGAAAAGGAGATAAGAATAAGAATTTATTCCGTCAAAGCGTGGTTCTAAAGTAACTGAATCAGCCTGAGTGTACTTAGACAAAAGGAACAGAGGATATTTTGATGAAAGAAGACCAAAAGATTACTGGAAGAGTATTATACGACTGCGCTAACTAGCTCCACAATTGTAAGTGAATTATACATAGAATACTTGTGCGATAGAAATAGGGAAAAGGTAGTTCGGCTTGTCAACTGAAATTCTAAAGTAACTGAATAGGTCTAGGTGGACTTTTGACAAGAAGAAGAGAACCATATAGTGTTTCTGATATCCCTATGATCTCTACAGTGTAAAGAATTTGTTGTACATACTTTAAACTAGTTTCGAATTTCTCTCTCTCTTTCTCTCTCTCTCTCTATATATATATATTATTTTGAAAACAACTGAAGTGCGTACTGTTCATTTATCGTTGAATTTATCGCCAACAAGTCACAGACACCTACAATAGTAGAATCCTAAGTCCAACAACAACAACACAGTATATATTTATACTATTAAGAAGTATAAGTAAAAACATTTAATTGACAATTGGCAAACATAAGCTAACTCTTTAACATCTGACAACACCGTTAGACGCCTGTAAATATTATTAGGACGTGGTTTTCTTTTATATAAACAATGTTCTAGAATTTCATTTTGTTAGTGTTCGTTACATAAAAAGTTTAGTTGACAATGAACCTAACGTATGTATATATGAGTGTGTGTGATATGAAGTCAACTTCGTAATTTAGCTTTTAGCTTTTATGTGACAAAAGCCAACTCAAATAATCATGTATGTATAATGTGACAAAAGCCAACTAAACAAATCACGTATGTATAATGTGTCAAAAGCCAACTCCACTAATCACGTATGTATAATGTGCCAAAGCCAACTCAACAAATCACGTATGTATAATGTGACAAAAGCCAACTCCACTAATCACGTATGTATAATGTGCCAAAGCCAACTCAACAAGTCACGTATGTATAATGTGACAAAAGCCAACTCAAGTAATCACGTATGTATAATGTGACGATAGCCAACTCAAATAATCATGTATGTATAATGTGACAAAAGCCAACTCAAACAAATCACGTATGTATAATGTGACAAAAGCCAACTCAAGTAATCACGTACGTATAACATTGATGAAAATCCTGTTTTCTTGCGTTACAATTACCAAATTATTTAAAACTCGGGTTCATGGAATAACATTTAACACACATGTACTGGCTGAGTTGAATGTGATATATCGCTAAAACAATTACACAAGGTGTATATTTACTCGGTAACTTAGTTGTTTAATTAAAGCGACACAGGATTCACATTTTAAAACAAAACAAAAAAAAAAAGCTCGCGATTACGGCAACTCACTTCGTTTTATAAATTAAGGCCTAAATTGTTAATTAAAAAAAAATCATTTATTTTGTGAATCGGTTTTGTACTTACTCAACACATGCTATGTTTCTTTCAGTTTTCTTAAAATTAAGTGAATAAACCGAAAAAGGGACTTAGGTTACAGACGAATTTTGGTCGACTTGTGCACAGTATTAGTAGAAACAAAGCTGATTAAGTTAACCAGTTATAATAACTTAGTGATGATTTATGTTCACGTATAAGCAACTTTCTACAAGCTTTCCTCCAAGGCTAACCTCACGTCTGAACTTCCCTCCAAATACCTCCACATGTCGCAAGAAACATCTAATAACCAAGTATTAGCAAAGGTGTACACTCAACGAAACATAATTAATTCGCTGCAAGACTTATATAGGTATATTAAGCTAGTTATGATAAATTTTATTTCCATGGTTTAAATTAGACTTAGATGAAATCGTTAAAGGCTGCTTGTATAGCTAGCTGTTCATTTTCTTTTTGTTTTCCCAGACTTTGTCACGCGGTCTTGCCTGGCTAGCGGTAAATGGGCCATTAACAGAGCAGCTGGAGGAGAAGAGAACGGTGATTACTCTCCATGTCAGCTGAAGCAAACATCCGTAAGTAGACAAACCACGTTGTAACCATGAGTTGAAGGTTGTCTTTCTGACTGCGTGCACACACGACTGATCTTTTATTTTTCGTTTTGCGCATGTTACCTGCAATAAAACCACACATTTCAAGATTGATATGAAACGAGCGTCCAAAGACGATTAATTAAAGAACTGGGAACGTCGGGAAAGGTTAATCCACTGTGTCCACTAATGAAGTATTATTATATCATCCTTGACAAAGATTGTTTCATTTTACGAGCATTAAAACCAAAATCAGATTTAGCATCGTTTATCAATTACGTTTTGTCTCAGCAGACACTGGGCACACCTGAAACAGCATTTCCAGATCCTGAATTAATTCCTCAGTGCAAATTGGCAGACAAGATATAAGCGTTGTAATTAATAGATAATTAAGAGCTAAGGATCAAATTGATATTAGGCATTATACGAGCTAATAAATTCTAATTTCTCACGAGATGGCTCTTTGTAATAAACAAGTAATTTCTATTTGTACCGCGTACATATTTGGAAATTTTAGACTTGCCAGTGTTTTATGTTCCTTAGTTGAGTTATACGCTGTTATATCTTTATTGTTACTTTCATTAACAGTACTGGTTAGAATGTTTAATATATCTAATTTTATTACTTTTTAACTTTGTTTTTATAATTATACTTTTAATCATAAAGATTGTTTTGTATTAATAGTTTAATATATATATATATATATTTATGACTAACTTAATTGCATTATTAGTTTAATATATGTATATATTTAGGACTAACTTAATTCTTCCAAGCTTATCGAACCTCGTGAGAAATTGAAAGAGAAGATGATGAAGTCGTCCAAGAGCAATACCGAAACATTCACGAATAAAACTAAGAATATAACCAGAAATGTATAATGCGGGTCGGAAAAGAAATCAAAGAGCGTGATCATGAATTAATAGAAGTGCTGAAGAAGCAAGAAATAATACCTATATAGTGCATTGCCAAAGTAGATATGATAGATTTGGCACAACATGATGAAGAAGACGTTGTGGATACAAAACTGTCATCACAGAAACCAAAATTACAATTGTACAAGAAGGCGCGAGAGGACAGATCGGTTGCAGGAACGGCTTAACACTCAGACTAACTAGATAACCCTCACCAATGACTATTCAGTAGCCACTAATTATAATCATATCACTTGGATCTATAATAGCTGCTTCAGTCTCCAAAAAGAGCCACCTGGACTATCAAGATCCACAGGAAGTACTCCAGGAAATACAGCCAGGCTTTCAAGAACGTTAGGTTACACCTTTCATCAATACAACTGTTTTGGGTCCATGAATCGTAACTGTGTTTGTATGTTATTTGTGATAACAAATTATTGCTCTTTTAAGCAAATTTCAAAAGGCCTATTTACAAAAGTCTTTTGGTAAATATTCACTATCGCTTCTGTTAAAAGTATTTCCCTAATTTTCAGTTTAAATTTCGATGGATGACCAAGGCATATATCCATAATTAGTGAAATAACGATACAATTTGTCACTTCTCTTTATATCGTATTTCACTAGAGATGCGATTTCCATTTTACTTTCTTAGTTGTTGGTTGGTAACAGCTTTTCAATGAAACATATTTTATAGATAGAGACATTACCTGCGTAGTTTTCGTGTACGTGCGAAGGAAAAAGCTTATGTCCTGAGTGTTTATAAAATTTTTGTCTATTGTAATTTTTTAAAATTACACTTGAGTTTTCTAGGTACTTGTCCGTGAGCCTAATGTATATTTAACTGCACACATTCTTACACTTAAACAGAACTTCCTATAAAGTTATCAAAAAATGTGTGCAGTTAAATATATGATAATTTTATAGGAAGTTCTGTTTAAATGTAAGAATGTGTGCAGTTAAATATAACGCTTAAACAGAACTTCCTATAAAATTATCTTAAACTGCATACTAAGCAATAAAAATCATAAAAATTATGAAAACGTCATTCTGCTGAGTGGTTTATATGGTCAGGAAGTTGATCTAGGCTTTGTCACTGTTTGACATGTGAACTTTAAGAAATCTACCCAGAAGTAGAACAAGCTTGTTGAGGCACAATGTTTGTACTTCAGTCAGAATTTGTTGAAAACTGTTATAACTTAAATTATAATTAATTTTGTTTCAGTGTTTCAGGATAATATAATATAACATAATGTTTAGGGACAACAAGGGACCTATTGGCCCATCTCGGCTGTCCATCCTCTAAACTAAACTAAAACTATTAAACAAATGAATTTAGAAATAACTAATCTTAAAGCCAACCCACGTAATCATAATTATGGGTTCATTAACATATTTTGTTATCTACGAGTGACTGTATACTATTCTACCAAAAGTAAGGGAACACTGGTAGTTATGAATAAAATATGTCATTATTCCAAGACATTTATAGCGTGTTGGCCTGCCTTTGGCCTTAATGACTGCTTCAATGCGTCGTGGAAGTCTGTCTACTATTTGCTGGTAGAAAGCTGGTGGTATTGTGCTCCACTCCTGCTTTAAAGCATAAGCAAGTTCACAACTGAAGAAGGCCATAGGCCTTGCCCTAATTCTGTGTTCCAGTTCATCCAAAGATGTTCTATCGGGTTGAGGTCGAGGCTCTGTGCTGGCCTCTGCAATGTTATTCTCTTCAAACCAAGCTTTCACAATCCTTGCTTTGTGACATGGAGCGTTATCATGTTGGAAGGTCTAAGGGCCGGTACCATAAAATTGCCACAATGAAGGACACACAAAATTGTTCATAACATCAATGTAGGACTCAGCATTCACGGATCCATGCACTACAACCTGTGGACCTAGTCCATACCACGAAAAACATCCCCAGAACATGATACCGCCACCTCCAAACTTCACTGTTGGGACAACACACTCAGGTAATGAATAAGCGTTCTCCGGGCATCCTTCTTACCCAAACACGTCCATCAGACTGGAAGAACATGTAGCATGACTCGTCGCTCCACAGGACCGATTTCCATTTATCCACGGTCCAGATTCGGCGTACCTTGCCCCATGCCAATCGACGATGTGCATTGGTTTTTGTTATCGACGGCTTGTGGGCTGCAGCTCTTCTGTGAAACTTCATGGCATGCAACTCTCGACGTGTCGTGGAAACACTTATAGGATTGCCCGTGGCTTCTCGCATCTACATACACAGGTTCTCTAGGGTCTGACGGCGAGATGACGTAACCAGCCTTCTCAAGTCGCGTTAGTTCCTATCAGTCAGTATCTTATGCCTACCTGGTCGTTTCTTGGGCTCACTGTCAGCTGTGGACTTCCATTTTTTTTCAGCACGATGCCAGTTGTCGACCTGGGAATGTTTAATTGTTGCGCAATAGCACATACAGACATTTTCCCCAAATAACATCCAACTATCCTTCCCCTCTGAAACTCTGTTAGCTCTTTCTGTGTACTTATCGTTTGAAATGACTTCCGAGTGAACCGCTAATCACCTTTATAGGCCAAACTATTTGCATATTTCGTCGTTTTACCCATTTTCCTGCAATCAGAGGTGCGTCTCATGACTTTTGGTAGGATAGTGTATGCTCCAAACTAAGTAGCTAGTTTTGGATGGGCCATGTTCTATTTATCAACATAAAAATATTATCTTCTCAACGAGAGACAACACAGTGTTAAAACCTTTAAAATATGAGTTTCGTATAACATCCACATACGAGTATAACTGAAGCTTGAAAAACAGAGCTCACTCTATAATAGTTCTGGTAATAGCTTGATAGTTTTATTCAACAGAAACTTGTGTTAATAACAGAGGAACAGCTGGACTATAAAAACTTCATAATCAACTATTTCTTGTACACCTACAGTATTTAAAGTAATCATGGAAAGAGTGAATCAAATGGATATAAAATGTAAATATATTATGGGATTATCTCATTTATGAAAATGAACTACGTTGGAGTACAGTCACATGCTGATATATTACACAGTTCTACCCCATCATAATGTCTATAAAAGTTCAAGCTGTCATACTATTCCTAATGTATGGTCCAGTGGTGGCTCCCTAAATAGAAATGCCAGATGATAAACGTGCAGAAATCAATGTGTTGGTTGGTAGAAGCTACTCCGTGCGACAGATTGAAATGAAATTTTACGTTTCACTAAGAGCTGTAAGGAAACTGAAAATGGTACGTAAAGGTAGTGTTGTTCACAATATAAACGATAAAGGTAGCAACTTGACATTTTTTCTAAAGTGATGTTAAATAACACTGTTCTTTATGTGATACATAATAATCTAATAGAGATGTTGTCAATGGCCTAGCTGTTAATATCGGTGTGAAAGTCACTTACTTAATATCGGCGTGAAAGTCACTTACAGATCAATTAGACATTCATTAGCCCAAATTAAAAGTTTGTCAACAATCAACTATAGTTTTTGTGTTGTTTGTTTACCGATGAAATGAAGAGAATGGTTTCAAATACAGATGACCGGTGTGGATTGTAACTCAGCCAGTGTTGAGGGACAAATACAAATGACAGGTGTGGATTGTAACTCAGCCAGTGTTGAGGGACAAATACAAGTAACAGGTATGGATTGCACGTCAGCCAGTGTTGAGGGACAAATACAAGTGACCGGTGTGGACTGCAAGTCAGCCTATGTTTAGAGACAAATACAAGTGACAGGTATGGATTGCAACTCAGCCAGTGTTGGAGATCTATGAACAATTAATAGCTCCCTTACTTCTGACAGGTGATTTTATTATGTCATTCCCAAAGGAACAAGACCTGTTGGGCAGGATTTCATCATCCAGCACGACAGTGGTTCCAAGCATGCAACAAATATGGTGAAACGATACGTTAAATGAAACATAGGCTCATGGAAACAGTAGAAACCATAGCTTGGGTTACACAAAGTCTCGATATGAATATTATAAGAATGTATGGGTTTATATGGAAATTAAAAAGGTCAAACAGCAATTAAACAAGGAGTCATACAAGTCATTTTGAACAATATTTCACAATCGTACATTGAAAAATTTACGGTACTATCAAACAAGGTGTACTGTTTTTTAAAGCAAATACAAAATGCTGTTGTATTGTTCAAATTATTAATTTTTTTCTTTTGTACTTTCTATAATAACATATTACACTAATAATAAACTGACCACTTGCGATCGCTCATTCTTGGGGTGGCTCGCGTATGTGTATCACCTGTGCGTTTCCATGATGATTTCCAACGTATACCTGGTTCAACACAATGGCTTTCGAAACCAAAACTAAAACTTTTAACGCTGTTTGCAGGTTTCAACCTAATGGGAAGATCGATGACAAGGACTGTATACGTAAAGTCTTTATGTAACTAAAGGAGAACACTATCAATCATTCATGGGGAAAATTTCATCTGCGGCTTATGTAGCTAGTGGGAAAAGACTTGGTATCTGAAGTGATGTGTCAACTTCGTGAAGTCGCAAATTGATGAGAACCAACACTTGACATTCGACGATGGCTTGTAACATGACACTAATCTGTAGCAGTGTTATATCCATACTCTTGTGTTTTGATACAGTTAAGTACGAAATCGATCACCTGCTACGTTTGGAAGATGCTAAATAATGTAAACAGTGTGCAACTTGTTAGTAAACTGTAGTGGCTGTTGCGTTGTTTCTAAAATTATTCGAGCTAAATCAGAGGCAGTCATTTCGCTAGCACACTTAGGGTGTTGTTTATTGTCCAGATTTAGTACACTTAAGGTGTTCTTTTATGTTCACATTTAGTACACTTAAGGTGTTGTTTATTGTCCAGATTTAGTACACTTTAGGTGTTGTTTATTGTCCAGATTTAGTACACTTGAAGTGTTGTTTATTGTTCGGATTTAGTAACTTATCGGCAGTGAAGAAGTTACAAGTCTATACTTTGATTTTTAGTTCTTGTTTGTTTTTTATGTCTGATTATCTTTCTTTCTGCATTTTATTATCTCGTGTTTTTAGATATTTTTGGCAATAAACAGATTGAGATATTGAGCACACAAGCTTCATTTGCTATCTGTACAGCTGCTACTGTGTCAAACTAGCTTTAGTTACTATCTGTAAAGCTGCTACTATGTCAAACTAACTTCAGTTGCTATCTGTAAAGCTGCTACTGTGTTAAACTAGCTTTAGTTGATTTTGAAAAAATCTTCATTATTCCAAAATGTCAGAGTAAGTTACAACAGTTCACCTCGGGAACGAAAATAACAAAAAACATGAATAAATCGGCATCACGTATCTTGAGCTAAATGTATCTTTTTACTATTTTCTGCCTACCCCCACCCCGGGGGCTCAGCTGTAAGTCTGAGGACTTAGTACACTAAAAATTGTTGTTTTGGTAGATTAGCACACTGATATCTCTAATATAGAAATAAAAGAATAGCATAGCTATAATATATATATATATATACTAAATAAAACCTACAATAATAATTTTAAATAAGCAGTAAGAATTAAAACATTATTATTACTAAAGAATACCAAGATAGTAGAGGTCTTTTGAAAAAGAAGTATCTCTGGTTTGAGTTTCAGAATTTTTCTGGACATGGAACTTTTTAATCCCAAGCCTTACACAAACCAGAAAAGTATCTGTAAAAGTTTTTAATCTCAAGCCTTACACAAACCAGAGAAGTCTCTGTAAAAGTTTTTAATCTCAAGCCTTACACAAACCAGAAAAGTCTCTGTAAAAGTTTTTAATCTCAAGTCTTACACAAACCATAAAAGTATCCATAAAAGTTTTTAATCTCAAGTCTTACACGAACCAGAAAAGTATCTGTAAATTTTTTTAATCTGAAGTCTTACACAAACCAGAAAAGTATATGTAAAAGTTTTTAATCTCAAGTCTTACACAAACCAGAAAAGTATCTGTAAAAGTTTTTAATCGCGAGTCTTACACAAACCAGAAAAGTATCTGTAAAAGTTTTTAATCTCAAGTCTTACACAAACCAGAAAAAGTATCTGTAAAAGTTTTTAATCTCAAGTCTTACATAAACCAGAAAAACTATCTGTAAAAGTTTTTAATCTCAAGCCTTGCACAAACAAGAAAAGTATCTGTAAAAGTTTTTAATCTCAAGCCTTACACAAACAAAAAAAAGTATCTGTAAAAGTTTTTAATCTCAAGTCTTACACAAACCAGAAAAAGTATCTGTGAAAGTTTTTGTCGTTTTATATGCAATGTGTAATTATATTTTATCACTTACGTACATAGTTCAAACAGAATTAAAGTATTTTTCTTAACTATGTCTAATGCCAAACCTCTGCCAAGAAGAGCATGATACTATACAGTATCATATTTTCCGAAAGTAATCTCCATTGTGATGAAGCGATAAAAAATTTGCATGAGCTGTGATTTTTTTTTAAATAAAGATGTTATCTGAAATGTTTTAACCACTATACTATTGGAGATATATGATGTTGAACGTGCCAAACTAAATTAACTTTTCTTCTTCTTTCTCGTAAAAATTGTCAAAAAGCTAGGTTCAATTCACGCTTTAAGTTGAAAAATGTATTATCTCTCCCATCGACGGTCTTTCTTCTTGAAAACAAGGGCTTATATTCATGGTATTTACGCTTTTTAAGGCGTCTTTTTTATGTCGATGTTCTAGCTGCTACGAAAATATTGAATCCCCCTTGATAAAAAATTTAGAGATGAGTGCAGTACGTAAAGTTTATCAGGTGTACCAACATTCATCCGTGATGATCCGTTTGCATAGCTTACATACAGGGGGGGGGGGGGTAATATATCGTTACCATTAAATTCTCATCATTCCTATATAAATCTAATGAGGACTGTAATGCCATATTGTTGCAGCAATCATAATTCACTTGACTTCTTAGTAGGGCTAACTGGAAGCCTGACAGAGTAGCTTTCGGTAACTGTGGATTTAAACGATTCGAACAATATATATCTATCAAAATTGATAGACTATACACTCTGTTGACCAATGTAATGACATTATTCCAAGATGGCTTAGGTGGGGAATTACGATTCATCAGATAAATCTTATCCGTCTGTTTTGTTTTTCGAAACTTGTTTGTGGCTCAAGTATTCTTCTGCACTAGAAGATCAAAACGTCTTCTTCAAACAAATTTTTCAACAGGTGAATAAGAAGTCATTTAAAATCCTTTAAAAGGATGGGTCATTTATCTTTTTATTCCATATTTTTCTTTATATGCAATTTATATTAATGCACGTGATATAACGAATTTTAGGAGCAACTTCCTGGACAATATTAGCATGATTTTACGTAGGACTTTCAAAGAATCACTTCTATAACAATGTGCTCCTGTATGATAATTCTGATAATGGATTTGACGTTTCATTTTGATTTTATTTTTTACAATACTTTCAGATCACCCACAAAAAGTTGATCAAGGAACTACTCAATGCTATGGACGAGTTACAAACATCACCTTATGCGACAACAGAGACTACTCAGGAATTTGAGAGATGTGTTGATGACGTATTATCAAAACCAGAACCTACAGGTAACTGGATTTCCATCTTAGCATGAATATCTTAACTTTTAAGAGTTCCAGTATTGAATTATATAAAATAATACACGATATTACAATTAAATTGTTCTTACCATTTTGTTAAAAACTACGTGTTTTAAAAACTAACCGTAAATAGCTAACAGAGCATTAGGGAGTTGTGTACTTCACGTTGTGCTTGAATAAAACTTTTTCTAGCCGCCCCAGTGGCACAAAGGTATGTCTGAGGACTTACAACGCTAGAATGCGGGTTCGATACCGGTGGTGGGCAGAGCACAGATAGCCCATTGTGTAGCTTTGTGCTTAATTACAAACAAACAAAACACTTGTTATATATCTAATTTGTCCCCGGACTTATAACACTAAAATCCGGGGTTCGATTCCCTGTGGTGGAAACAGCAGAGAGCCCACTGTGGCTTTCCTAAAACAAACAAACTATATACAATTTTAACTCTAGCTCTGAGCACTTAATTTTGTTTTGTGTGTGTGTATGTAATATTCTGAGTGCAGAATTTATGAAACTGTTTTTAATTTTTGATCACAAACTGTACTAGAAACGTTTTTATTAAAGAACAGTTGTAACTCTAGTTTGCTATTCATTTGACTGCTAAAGACATCTAGTCTGTCGGTTCTGTTAAAATAGTTTTTATAGCTGCTAATGGCTGTTCAAAGATCCTTAGCGTCCAAGAATGGCATTAAAAATAATTTAATGCAGTCACTGCTGATAATTAAATTTAATGGCTGATGATGAATGTTAGCACGTGTTTACAGGCTATTTAAACGATCTCAGTAGCTTTCTGATACCAATGATGACTGTTAAATCCATATTGACCCACAAATATTGTGGTATTCAGATGTTCAAGAGGTAAGTACAAAGTATCGCCATAACACGAGAGAACAAAGTTTCTTCCTTCCGTGAGAATGGAATGAACACGGATAACAAAACGAAAGTTGAAACACTGGCTTGTTATCTTATGGGGAACCACCATGGTGGCTGAATCACGACATCTTGTGACGTCTGCTTCGATCAAGACTTGAAGGGAAGTCACAGATACTTGAGGTTTTTTCAGATCCAAATTGAGCTACTGCAGTGAACATTACTGTCGGATTATTCTTCTGCTTCAGCATCCAAATCTATGTGACCACCTTGAACTGTGTTGCCATACAAATATTCTCAGCTAAGAGATGAAATGAACCCCTTATATTCTGTATTGGTTTGTAAAACAGCTCCCTTACACATTTGTCAATGAAAGCCTCGTTACAATCTTCTTAGGATATCCTTGTAAATGGCCAAGTTCTCATTGGACCCATACCTTCAAGAATTGAACACGGCTCTCTAGAAAGTTTAGTTTTCAACATGGTACAAATCTAAGACACAATTGAGTGTAGAAAAACTTGTCCCATTCAGCGAGTTGCTTCTAGTCCAATGTTTTAGAACATTGAGTGCTAAACCCTTCAAACTGAACATCAGATATTACACTACCTGCTTCTGATAGTACTTCATTATCCTTTTGAACACTTGCGGATTAATTTCCATTGTGAAACGACAGTGCAGACAAGTTATCAGCTGTGAATATCTCTAACATCAGTGTTGAAGGGAGGGCCTTCTCATTTTTCTCAAGCTTAGAGACATGCATATTCTAATAGATACAGAGAAATCAGATGAAGTTAGTAGTAGAATACCAAAAACGTTCAGGAATAGATGTCTTTAGAGCATTATACACCGATTTTAGCCACTAGACATGACCTCAGAGCATTACCAAGTAAGCCCTGCCACCAGCCTGCAAGATACCTTAGCCGTTCAATGATCTTCAGGATTGTGGTGAAGTTCTGGTTACTCTGCCTATAACCTAGCTGACCTGTACTGTTGAACAGTGACAGAAAGGCCTAATGATACTTGTGTTACAACCTATTTGACCTGCACTGTTGAAAAGTGAAAGAAAGGCCTAATGCTACTTGTGTTATAACCTAGCTGACCTGTACTGTTGAACAGTGAAGAAATGCCTCGTTTGGAGGAATGTAAAGCGTACAAAGCAGAATTGGAATGCTATTATACACTTTTATACTGGGATTTCAGAAAAGGCAAGTAAAGAATAATGTAAATAAAATTATGATGAGTCTTAATTTGGTGTTATATCAATTCAATTACTGATCTACAGATCATGTTTCGTGAGATTATGCGTTATAAACCACAAAAGTAGTCTTCTCTTAAATGACTGATATAAAATGCTTATTTGTTCTTCAAATATCTTAAAGAACAAATATTAAAACAAGTTATTTATTAGATATATATATTAGTATCAAACTTTAAAATCCATACAAAAGTTGAATATCGTATATTAAAAATATTTTAAAGCCTCACCATGTCCGGTCATGCTCTTTCTGATGACCGTACATCTTGAGGTAGCCCAGCAGTGCAATTTCCATTGCAAAAAGTTCTATGTTTGTAGATTCCTGTCTTTTAAAATATTTTACACTTTGTTTACAACGGATGAAATACGACTTGTTGCAGGTCTCTTTCTGGGTGGTCCTGAGACTCTAAGTTGATCCACGTTACTTTGTTTTCCAATGACATTAAGTACAACAGATATCCCCGTCTTGGAAATTTTAAATCCCTGATCTGAAAACAACTTTATCATCTGAGTGTTCGAATATTTTGCGTCGAAAATAACTTTTACGTACCCTTCCCAAAAGTGATCAATTCTCGGCGACATCACAATACCTACGATACGCCAAACAGTATCGAAACTTAGTTCTGATATATTCCGTTCTACCACCGCAATTTCACATCGGCTGTATTTGTCACGTGACTTGCTGATTTTTGTATTCCAAATCGTTTTAAAATAACGAACCCAACACTTTGCGTTACTTACCACTCGATCATACACAATATTGATACGACAGATCGCTGATTACTTTAAAAATGAGCAAAACACGAAATTTGTTCAAAAAACAGTAAATTTCATGGAGTCGATATTCTGAACGTGTCTTTAAGAAACAATGAATATAATAGGTTTTGGAACTTCGTAGGTACCAGCTGACATTATAGGTAAAAAAGAAAATACGTTTTATTTACACCAGTAACTGCATTATATCATCCTGATTCTGTTTGAATAGTCTCCGGTCGGGTACGCGGTATGTTTGCGGACTTCCAACGCTAAAATTCAAGATTTGATTCCTCGCGGTGGAAAGAGCGCAGATATTCCACTGTGTAGTTTTGCGCTATAAACAGCATACTAATAACAGGATTTATTTGTATATACGTATATTAAATGTATTGAACAAAACTTTGCTAGAGACTTATTAAAATTCAAAAGTTGCTTTTTAAAAAGTTTGGAGATGGTGGGACAGGCGTGGCCTAGTTGTTAGAGCATATAGACTGTGAATGCACGGTTCGCGACCTTTTACTGCAGAAACGTTCCGAAATTTATGGTCGTGGATACGCTCTAAAAGTGAAGGCGAAATCTCACTATTCCATTAGAGTAGATCCAGATATGCCTTTTATAGTTTTACTCATAAATATTAAAACAAACAACTGGAAATCAGTTTCCCCCCACCCCCCTACAATCTACCATTACTTTACTCTTTCTTTCTTCAACACGAGTTTTGTTATTTGAATAAAATGCATGACAATATTCAGGTTATTTCAAGGATCAATGAATACTGTCCAAAACAGATGATGTTTTTTTGTTGGTTTATTTAGGGATAAGCATAATATGCTGATAGAATACGGTAGTATTTGCATTAGTTTCCTGTAGGAATGGACTTGATATGGTGAATAAAAACGACGGAAAACATATCGAATGCTGTCTGTGACAGTTTTTGAAACAGACACGCTGTATTTCATTATATATTTCCTCGGGTAGTATTTTCTATGAAGTTCATATTTACATATAATGTTTTTCCTTTCCCGCTTTCTCTCCAGACGTTTTGTTTAGACAAAAAAACAAATATTTCAATTAAATTCATATTCTTTTCGTTTCCAACAAATAAGATGTAAACAAAAACTTTGCCCCTCCCCCAGTAGCACAGCGGCATGTCTGCTGACTTACAACGCTAGAAACCGGGTTTCGATACCCGTGGTGGGCAGAGCATAGATAGCCCATCGTGTAGCTTTGTGCATAACTTAAAAACAAACAAATAAAAAATTAATATACGCGTGAGTGTGTAAAATTTCTTTCGTTATAAAATTGCGTTGTAAAGCTTTTCTTCCTTTCTTTTTACCCTCTTTCTAACTTTGACAGCACCATCAGATACGTTTATCTTTGTCATATATAAATATATAGTACGTCAATATACACCTTGGCTGCCCTATCTATACACTGTCTTGGATATTATTACCTTTGTAATTGAGTATAAATTTAAACTACTTTTTTGTTTGTTTGCTTGTTTGTAGTTAAGCACAAAGCTACACAATGGGCTATCTGCGCTCTGCCCACCACGGGTATCGAAACCCGGATTGTAGCGTTGTAAGTCCGCATACATACCGCTGTGCCACTGGGGGGCTAAACTACTTTTAAGCTTTTTCTGTAAACTGTTTTATATCTTTTGGTATATTAAATAAGTGTTATATTATCGTACAACGATCTTTGTGACTTTGTTTAACAAGGCAGCGAATAGTCGAAGTTGTTTTTTCTTTTGTAATAGATAATCTAATTGGTCAGCTGGTGATTAGACTTGAGTTTTAGTAACAACTAATGTCTAGCTCAATGTTCATATTGACTGCTAAAGTATTCTTGGTAATCTGTTAAAAATGCTTTTCGGGACGCACTAATGACTTAATATTTCTGCGTGACCATTAATGGCCAATTAAGAATTCTTTTGGTTGTTTTTTTCTGATACTAATGGCTGTTTTAGTGGATATTATTGCTTCATTAAGCGTTCTTTTTTTCTGGTACTATAACTATTACATTTTTCTCAGTGGATATTATTGCTTCATTAAGCGTTTTTTTTCTGGTACTATAACTGTTACATTTTTCTCAGTGGATATTATT